GCTCGCACTTCGAGACCGTTAAAGAGCTGCAGTAAAAGCTAAGGCGAGGCCTGGGGCTCTGACATCAAAGGCAGGGAAAAATGGGTGACTATTGATATAGGAGAAATGGAGGGGTTGCCTGGAGGATGGCATTCCATAAATGTTCATGGAGATGAATTGCGGGTGCCAGAAATAAACGTTGGTGTCAGAGGTCCGACTGCTTGGTCCTACCCCCAGTGCCATTCAACAAGTGCCACTGCTGAGGACCGTGATGAGAGGACTCCAGTCAGGACATGGGTTTATTTCTTCACAATCCAGATCCTGCCTTATTTAAGGACTTGCCAGCACTCGTTCACTAGTGAGGGAGCACAGCCGGCGGTGAGTCGCTGTCCTGGGTGCTGTGGAGCAGACACGCCCACAGAGTGGGGTGTCTGCCCTTCAGCTTGGTGTTCAAGGCCACTCTGGTTGGATCCTCCCTGCTTTTGGTAGCTCAGCTCTCTCTAATCTTCTTGACACATCCTGTACTTCTGCCAAACTGCTTTGCCACCCCCAAAACATTGGCTCCCATGTGTAATGTTCTCTTTCTCACCTTTGCCTGTCCCAATTCTAGCTGGGCTCCAGGGCCAGGTGGAAGCTTTTGTGGAGGCCGGCCCCATGGGGAGGGCTCTCAGCTGCTTTGAACAAGCCCTAGCCCCGTATTTGAACACCTCTCATGGCACTTTCCTCTCTCTCTCCTGCTTTTGGAGCCCCTCTTCTGTACAAGATGGTGGGAAGGATGAAATACCTAGCTTCCTTTGAAAGAAAATATGAACTGTGTTTATTTAGTATTTTCATTTCAGTGCTGATATTCAGCTGGGGGGCCCAGGCTGTCTGTGCGGTGGTTTCCACCAGTCTCCTTTATGCTCGCTGCCAACACTGGTTAGAATATTTCTGATATCACCCTTGATTCCACTAGATGTCAAGACTGAACTGTCAATTTTCACATACGTTATTCCTTTGAGCCCTTTCAGCACCCCCTGAGGTGGATATTATTATTTCTATTTTATCTAAAAATAAAGTGTGCCTTTCTGAAGGGCTCAGCAGGTGTCAGGAGCTTTGCTGTGCATTTGTGCTTGGTTGCGTTCAATTCTTACAGCGATCCAATAAGCAGGTACCATCACTATTCCCAGTGCACGGAGGAGAAGACTTCAAATTTAAAGGAGCTGGAAGCTGAGCCTGCAGTCACAGAGTGGTGACGTGGGGCCACTTAACCACGCATTGGTGCCTATGAGGAAGTGGGATGAGGTGACAAAGGGAGGTCAAGTGGACCAGGCTCAGGGTCACGTGCATGGCTGTGCAGGCGAGGGGCTTTCCTCTGATCACCTTGTTGCTGCCCAAACCTGATGAAGGCAGCTCCATCACTCCCCTTCCAGATGGATCTACAGCAGGACGAGGGGTGGAATCCCAGCGGGGTTTGTACTGTCACAGAGCTCAGCCTGCTCCGCTATGACTTCACTGCCAGACCTGAGACCGTAAAACTCCCAGAAGAAAACCCAGGAAAAAAGCTCCTTGACATAGGTCTTGGCAATGATTTTTTGGATATGACACCTACAGCACAAGCAACAAGATCAAAAATAAAGTGAGACTGCATCAAACTAAAAAGAGAGCATGCCCTCGTATATTTATCAGCCATGTCTATTTTGTTTTTCTGAAAACGCTAAGTTTTTAAAAGGGGTGATGGTGGTGTTTGGAGACCCTGAAGAGGAAGGGAACTGGCCCTTGTGAAGTGCTTCCTCCGTGAGAGGCATTGTGTTGGGACTTCTGCCCACTGGTATCCTTTGCTCTTACCAGTAGCCCGGTGTGTCAATATTATTGTAAATATTCATAGGAGAAAACGGATGCATTTAAAGGTTAAGTAACTTGGTTGAGGTCAGGCAGCTCAGAAATTGAGGTTTTGATATTTTCTATTTCCATTGCTGTGAAACAATAGAAAGTATGTACATTGGTCTTTTTCCTGGGTTCCTGGCACAGAGCGCCTAAAACCCTTGTGACTTCCTAAGTGATAACACTAGCAGCATCTTTTGTTCTAATATTTGGTCTTTGACCCCAGTTCCTGACTCAGAGTTCCTAAATTCTTTGGAATTTTCTTTGGAATTTTGGGTGATGAGAGGGCCTGTTGTTCTAATGAGGCCACTCTTGGTGGGCTCCTAGATGGGGGCTGCTCACCAGAAAGACCAAGCTGTGATTAGAAGCTCGGGACTTTCCACATCACCCCCATCCTCCAGGCAGGGAAGAGGGACTAGAGACTGAGTTAATGATCGATTGTGCCCACGTGATGAAGCCGCCATAACAATCCTCAAAGTATGGGATTCGCAGAGCTTCCAGGTTGGAGAACACATGGAGGTGCTGGGAGAGTGGCTCACCTAGAGAGGGCATGGAAGCTCCGCCCCTTCCCATAAACCTTGCCCTGTGTGTCTCTTTATGTGGCTGTTCCTCTGTAGCCTTCATTATATCCTTCCTAATACACTGGTAAACGTAAGTAAGTGTTTCCCTGAGTTCTGTGAGCCATTCTGGCAAATTATCAAACTCAAGCAGGGAATTGTGGGAACCCTGATTTATAGCCAGTTGGTCAGAAGTACAGGTGACAACCTGGGACTTGCCACTGGTGTGTGAAATGGGGGCAGTGTTGTAGGACTGAGCCCTTTTGTGGGATCTGACACTAACTCCAGGTAGATAAGGTCAGAATTGAGTTGAATTGTAGGACACCCAGGTGGTGTCACAGAGGATTGCTTTGTGTGTGGAAAACCCACACATCTGGTGTCAGAAGTATTGTGGGTGTAAGAGTAAAGAACAAAACGGGAGTGTTTTTTCTAGACAGTCGCAAAGGAAACTAGTTTCAACTTTGATCGGCTCTTGGGCCACCAACAGGGTAATGGGAAGAAAGATGGTGACATGTCTAAGGACCTTGGGGTGAGTGTGGCACCACCCCCATAGGCCCAGTGTGGAGCCTTGTCACAAATGTCACCCCACTCTAAGGCAAGGACTTGTCTTTTATAGATGTGCTCCTAGTGTCTAGAGTATGTCTTGGTAGGTGGAAAAATAACATTGATAAAGAAACAAACTTTGTGGATTGTGGGACTGGATCTAAGAAATCAGACGGTAAAATCCTATCTAATTTGAATTAAAAAGGTGATGAATTGCCTTTTCCATTCATCAAATTCTCAAGAGTTGCATACTCAGAATAATAAATTGATATGCTCAGCCTCTTAAGCGACTTCATGGTTTTCTTTACCTACGATTTTCTCTGGCACCATTTTCTAACACCTAGGAGACATGGGAGTACGAGGCTCTACACGCAGTTGTTGTCTTCAATCTTTGTGTCCACTGCAGTGTGTGACGGATGTGTTCCCTCACAGGGCACAGACCGCTGGATGCCCCCAGATGTCTTTCTGCAGCATAGAAAAGGTAACTCTGGGTTATGTGCAATTTCCAAGTGCTAGCCTGAAACGCCACTCCTTTCCCTCCCGCTGGTTGAGATGCACCTATATATAGCAATACCAGGTTTGAAAAGAGCATCCCAAGACCACAGCTCCCCATTTCCGTCTGCAGTAGACTCCCTGCATCCGGAGACTGGGATTTCTGCAGTCAGAATCAGTGCACAGAACTTTGCACACACAGGGGAACGAAGGAGGGCTGACGGCTTCCACCACTCACACCTTGTCTTCACCACTTCTTGGCACTGAACCTAACTCATATTTGGTCACCAAGGACCACAAGGACTCTTTTTAAATGGTTGGGAAGGAAGACAGTCGTCGGGGTGACGGCAGGGATCCTCACCCCACGCTCACCTCCTTTGAGAAAAATGCAAATCAGTGGAACAAAGGGACTTTACAAAGGGACACACAACATCAATGCCATTATGCAAAACAGCATACTCAGTAGAAGCCCAGGCCAGGACCATGATCAGGCTTTAGTAGAGAGGAGCATCCTCCAAACATGTAACGCTTCAGCAAGGATGTTCTGAAGTAAGAAGTGTGTATTTTGAGATGGAAGAAATCATGGGTTTTAGCCAATGGAATGAATTCTGCCAGAGAATAAGGTCAAAAATGGATTCTATTTAGCAAATCAAATGGCTTTAAAAGTCCAGTTCCCTGGTTTATAGAGAAGCTTGTCGCTATGTGATGAGGCGGAGGAGAGTAACAAAGGAGTGTTTGAAGATGTGAACTATGCAGGTCACACCCAGAGGCCTCTGAAGGACAGATGGCCTGGCCAGGTAACGTCTTCTAATTATGGTGCCTGTAAAGGGTTTTTCACAGATGAGCTCTGAGGAGCTCTTAGGCCAGAGGTGACCACTGGTTACCTTTCCCGGGATACCCAACTGGACAGAATTCTCGACTTCTGTATTTCTTCTTGATAGAACTCCAATAGCCTATGTTTCACATGTATGTGTCTGGTTTCTGTAGAGATATCTGTTCAGCTTTTGCTTGATGCTCAGAGAACTGGCAAATCTTCATTTTCTCAAAGATCTAGTGATCATCCTTGGGGATCTCGCTCTACATCAGGCCTTTCTCAGTTCTATCTCCTGTCACAAATTTTGAGAAAAAACCTCTGGGACCTTAGGAGTCAGCTGTTTTGGTTCCCCAGTATGAAGAGCTAGTAGGGTCTGCGATGCAGTATTACATTTTGGAGACAGCTCTCCCCTGGCCATCGTCCTGCGTGGTCCTTGGAGAAACCCTGCCTTATTGCTTAGGTGCCACAACACCTGTATTTTCTGAGACACAAAGAAGAATACAGAATGTCAGATTTTTGTTCTATCTCTTAATTTCAACTTCTAGCCCAGTTTCTAGGCCTTATAATCCTTCTTAGTTCTGACAATGACAGAGTTGTCCTCCTGCCGGGGGGTGGGGTGAGGGATGTGGTGGTCAAGGTGAAGAGGACAGTAATAGGCTCTGGAATGGAAAGAAAGTGATACTGAGAACAGGCTTTGCCTCTTTATAATAGGGCTGATCTTAGAAAAATGACTTCACATCTCCGGTCCTCAATGCCTTATTTATTTCTTTATTTGGTAAGAAATAAGATAAGAGTATCCATCTCACAGGAAGGTAGTAAGGATTAAATAAGATCATTGATCAATCTCCTAACACAGATGGTAGGTGCTTGATAACAGGCTTTAGAATCAAGGAAGTAAGGCAGGAGGAGGACCCACAGTGACTCTGATAACTCAATGCCCTTTGAGTTTCATGGCCAAGTTCTTATTTGGGATTCAAAAAGATTGTTGTTCATTTTTCTTGTTTCTGGCTTCTTGAGTTCACGTTTCCTGGTCCAGATCAGGCACGGTCTTTAAGGCCACTCTCATACTGCTGAACTTCTCAGACCCCTGATATAGAACCCCTTCGGCTATCCAAGTTGTGGCTGCTTCCTGATGGTCAGGAACTATATCATGCTTGACCAGTTGTACATCAGGTGTGTGGGTCAGAGCCTGGCACACAGGATGTGCCAGGAGATAGGCATTGAATGAAGGGACCTATCGAAGTCTTATTGCCCCTCAAAGTGAGTCTGAAAGACGAACAGATGAAGAAAAAAGAAACGTAGAACTTCTTCATAACCAAAACCCATAACATCTACCAACCAAGACCCAGTTTCTTCCCTGTATAGGGGACGCTCGTTTAGTCTTAACTCAGGTAAGCCCCGCTAGTCACAGGGGTTTGTCTCTCCTGCTGCTTCAAAGACCAACAGGAATAGTCATGCCCTCAGTGTGGGTACGTCAACAAGGAGGCCAAACCGTGTCAAGGTACAAACATCTGATGGCTAAAAGGACTTCTGTTTTTAAAAAAGTAATAAAAAGCTTCTGTCCTCCCACCAACAGCCAAGCTGATATCAAAGAGCCGAGACATTCCTTTCATGAGGTGAGGAGCTCCTAATGGCAAACTCAACATCTGCGTAACAGGATGACAGCACAGCAATAGGTAGAGAACCAGGGAGGTGAGGTGCAAGAATTGAAGCAACACCCACCTGGGCTGGATGTAAAAGGGCCAGGAGGGAAGGGGGTTACCACACTCAGTGGCTTGGCCTTCCCAGCTGCAGCCTCAGCCCAACACCATGACTTCCTCCTGCATCAGCTCATCCCACTGTCTGGGCAGCACCAGGACTTTTGGAGCCAGAAATGTCTCCGTGTGCTCCAGTGATGTTGGGGACCAGCCTGGGGCTGAGGCCAAGGCTGCCTCCCTGTGCCTCTCGGCCACCCAGGCACATACCAACCGAGTCTGCGTGGGGACGACCCCTCTGGGCCGACCCAGCCTCTGTCTGCCCCACAGCTGCAACGCTGCTTGCCCCTTGCCAGGGACCTGTGACATTCCTGGCAACATTGGTACCGGTGGGACCTACGGCGAAAGCACCCTGAATAGCCATGAGAAGGTGACCATGCAGTTCCTGAACAACCGCCTGGCCAACTACCTGGAGAAGGTGCGCCAGCTGGAACGGGACAACGAGGAGCTGGAGACCAAGATCCTAGAGTCGAGCAAATGCCATGAGTCCAGCGTGTGCCTGGACTACCAGAACTATTTCCGGACCATGGAGGAGCTCCAGCAGAAGGTGAGGCTTGGAGCAGCCTGGGGTATGCTGGGTCTGAGGAAGGCGGAAAGGCACGGCAGGCAAAAGACCACTGAAGGCTCAAGGGGCTTTGGGTTCTTGGATTCTCTTGAGCATGAATGTAGCCGTCACTCGTAGAGCTGGAGTCCGGAGTATGATGTTTTGTGTGTGAACTGTCTCCCTCAGATCCTGTGCAGCAAGGCTGAGAACGCCAGGCTGATTATCCAAATTGACAATGCCAAACTGGCTGCCGACCACTTTAGAATCAAGTAAGTCAGGTCGAAAGAGGGCTCAGAGCGACTCCTTCCTCCACCCTGTCCCAATGCCTAAAAGCTTGCTGAACGAGCGAAGTACTGAGCTATCTCCTCCTTCCTAAATTCCCCAAATTAAAACATTTTTATTACAACCCAAACTAATAGAAGGCGGGTGAGAAAAGACACCATTAAATGAAATGTGTGGCAGAGCCCAGGGTAAAGTCTCCTTCATTTATTTCTCAAAAATGGTTGTAATGAGGCAGCCGGAGTTCATTAACCAGGAGCAAAATAAGGGGATTTCAACAATAAGTGAGCAAGGATGGCCACTGAATTTCCTGTGTTAAGTCAGGGGAGCGGCTTACACATGGGTCAGGGTCCCGATTTATGTATGGAGCCCTCGGGTCCTAGGTGTTTCCATTAAACAAAGGTGAGAGATGGAAAAATAGCCCAACACAAGGCATAGCCAATCAATGGCCAGGCACCTGCGATTGCTTATCTTAGTCAACCCATAGCTCGTGCAATGGCACGAATCCCGCACTGGGTCCTAAGATACATGACCTCAGGCAAGTCAGTTCATCTTTCTGAACCAAAGTTGCCTCAGTGCACAATGGTAAAAACGAGAACTGCTGTGGATGCTCACTATCATAGGCCGTTTGAGAGGAGGGGCTGTGTCTAGCGCACCTCTGAGCCCAGCTGTGTCTAATTCATCTCCGAGCTCAGTGAACACGTGAGGATTCAAGTTGGTGAAGGAGGTGGGAACCGGGGGCAGCCGAGAGGGGCTCTCCTTGGCATCTTGTTAGTGTTGCACCTCCTGTGATGGAAGGCACGAGAGTGAGTGCGCCCTGCGCCAGCTGGTGGAGTCGGACATGTGCGGGATGCACAAGCTGCTGGACGACCTGAGCCTGGCCAAGGCCGACCTGGAGGCCCAGCAGGAGTCCCTGAAGGAGGAGCTGCTCTGCCTGAAGAGCAATCACGAGCAGGTCTGGTTCTGTGGGCTGCAGACTCACGAGGGAGGGCCTTGGGCAGAAAAGGGAGCCCCTCCTACCCAGTGGCTGTAGGATTAGAACCCAGGCTCACTTGGCCTCAGGGTAAGGGTTGATCTGGGTCTGAGAGTCAGGCTGACTCTGTGGGATGTGGCAGAGTGGGAGTTTGTCCCCCAGAGTTTTGCCCTGTGAGTTTAGGAAGGTCTCCAGGTGGGCTCTTCCCATTGGATCCTGGGCAAGACCTGTCAGAGCGTGTGTGTGGGGTCGCCCCTCATGCTGCTTGTCAGGGGAGGGCTTCAGGTGCCACCTGCTCTGTCAAAGCCCTTTTCTCATTAGGGCGTCCGTCCTTCTGTCCCTGCAGGAAGTGAGCAGTCTGAAGAGTCAGCTGGGGGACAAGCTCCGGATTGAGCTGGACACTGAGCCCCCCGTGGACCTGGGCAGGGTGCTGGGGGAGGTGCGGTGCCAGTACGAGGCCATGGTGGAGACCAACCACCGCGACGTGGAGCAGTGGTTCCAAGCTCAGGTGAGGGCGATGCTGCCGAGCAGGGAGGGAGCCCGGCCGCCGCGCGGGCAGGGAGGTGATCCCGTGTCCCTGTGCCCCTGTGCTGCAGTCTGAAGGCATCAGCCTGCAGGCCACGTCCTGCTCCGAGGAGCTTCGGTGCTGCCAGTCGGAGATCCTGGAGCTGAGACGCACCGTGAACGCCCTGGAGGTGGAGCGCCAAGCCCAGCACAACCTGGTAGGGTCCTCCTTTGCCCTCACCGCGCTGTGAACGCCGCAGGCCACGGCCTGGGAGCAACATTTTAGAAACTTCACTAGTCAGTTCTGTTAACAGTAATTTAGAGCTCAGGATCTGAGTCCCTCTCTCCCCGGGGGCGATGCCTTGCTGTCAAGGTTAGTTTGACCCAGAAAAATTGTTCCTGTTAAAAGTCAACTCCACTTCTTTTAGAATAAGATGTGGTGGTTCAGGCTCTCATTCCATAAGATTTTAGTGGGTGTCTACTTTATGTCAGGTATTAGGGATACAGAGATGAACATGACACAGTTCCTCAAGTCAGATATTTTTGGGAAAAGTGATGGTCATATTGACAGCGAGTTCTCCAGAGCTCTGGGAATGTCCTACGAATTCTTAGAATTTGCCCCACACCTGGTGAGTGTGGCCGTGATTTTCACTGCTGAATTTTAGGTCACCTGTGTCTCTTACCCCATCATTTCCCCTTATAGAAGGACGGTCTGCAGAACTCCCTGTGTGAGGCCGAGGCCCGCTACGGCACGGAGCTGGCCCAGATTCAGAGCCTGATCAGCAACGTGGAGGAGCAGCTGTCCGAGATCCGGGCGGACCTGGAGCGGCAGAACCAGGAGTACCAGGTGCTGCTGGACGTCAAGGCCCGGCTGGAGGGCGAGATCGCCATGTACCGGAACCTTCTGGAGAACGAGGACTGCAAGTACGTGCGATCTAGGCAGTTCCTGGCCAAGCAACATACCAGACTGTCAGGCGACGCCTCAGAGATAAAGTGCAGTGCTTGTGGGAGGAGATCTCACCGTAAAGAGCAAGCCTCTCCGTGCACGCTCGCTTAGTGACTCATTCAGGCCTCCTGGGTGTGCAGACTGCACTGTTGACAGATGTTACATAAATAGTAACCGGGTCCCTGAGCCAAGTCCCTCCAGAGGATTCCTGGATGAGCAAAGACACAGACGAGAGTGGATGTGGGACTGCTCATGTGGATTCCATTGGGCAGGGGGACTTGTCGGTGGCAGACCTGTTCTTTACCCGTTGGGTCTCGCCCTTTCCGCCCATAACTGAGACATCTTTCCATTGGTTGTGTCTAACTCTTCCTTCTCTCTCTCCCTGCAGACTCCCCTGCAACCCCTGCTCTACACCTGCCTCCTGCGCCCTTCGCCCACGGTGCGGGCCGCCCTCCACCGGTGGAGCCAGTGCTGAGAGCTGATTCTGCAAGTCTGAGTCCTGTGCGGGAGGTTGGCGCTGGTTGCAGCGGGGCTGGGATTGCCCTCGCCTTACTTGGTCTTCTTCCCAGGAAGCCATTTCCACTGAATCAAAGGGTAGCAGATCCTGCAAGCAGTGGCTTCCTGTTTGTGCCTTAAGCTGATTTTTTTTTGCAATGTTACAATTATCTTCCACTTAAGCTGCTATTTTTTCCCCAGTGTCTCTTCTGGGATTTTGGTTCTATTCCAGTGCTTCAAAATCTCCTAAAATGTAATTGGGCTCCTGTATTAAATGGTCAATAAATCTCCTTCCTGTATCGAGTGCTATCCTTCCTGTGTGTGGCAGTGTCTGTGGGGTGCCTGGCCCTCAAGCCCTCAGGTGGTCATTGGCCCTGACGTGTTGCTGCCGGGATCTCTCTGGGGCACTGGGGTCTTAGCCTCTGGATGATGTGTCCTTGCCTTGCCCATCGATCCCTAGAGACTAGGAAAGGAAACCACGCTGGTTGCCAAGTTTGAATTCCTTCAGAACACCTCGGAACCAACATGCCCCTACCGTGCTTTTGGCGTCTTCAGCCTCCTGGTATTTTGTCCAACAGCAAAATCGCACAACTCAGAGTTCCAATCTAGTCAGAGGGAGGTTGTGTTGAGAACCGCCTTGGCCAAGTTACCAAGTTTTTTCTCTTATTCAGATTGGCCCCTTCATGGAGGCACAGTATTCCCACCTGCTTTTAGAGATGGAGGCTCAGATTGGGCCCTGGGGACAGTTGTCTTGGTCCTGGCCCTCTTCCGGGATGGAATTTTCTCTAGAGAGACACTGCCACTGATGTGCATGCTTGTCTCCTCTGCTGCTGCCTTCCAAGTGCTGGTAGAGGGGACTGCAGTTGTCATGAGAGCTCTGGGTGCCTCCCTGCCTCTTGGACGTGGCTCTGACACAGGCCAAGATGGTTCACAGCCAGACCTGGTGGAAGAGTGGAAGGGGAACAACACCCGGGCTGTGTTCCTTCCATGCTGTGCTGGTCAATGCACAATGTGGCTTTTGGCAAGTGCTGAGTGTGTCTAGAAGAGTGAAGCTCTCAGATCTCAGCTTGCCCATGTACCCTGGTCCATAGACCAATGCAAAGCCGGTCCTTCTTTGTGGAGCATAGTATGGTGGAAAGAGCATGTGCACCGGACTCAGGCAGACCTGGGCTCAAATCCCACCTCTGTGACACGAGCTGAGTGAAGACGCTCTCTTAAGATCTATTCCTCAGCTGTAAAATTAGAATACCTGTATTTCCCTCTCACTGTTGTTGAGGGACAATCTATAAAATATTCCTGGCACATAGAAGATGCTCAATGGATATCGGTTTATGGGGCTCCCTGGGAACCAGCAGGGACAGTCTTCTCCTGCAGGGAAACAGGAGCTAAAGAGGAGGGAGCAGAACCATCAGCAGCATCAGGGGCCAAATATTCCCAGGTTGGTGGCCTGGAAGTTTGGCCAGACTCCTGTCCGCTTATAAGCAATAATGAAAACTACCCACTGTTGTTACCGGAGCTGTTTCTCACTCCAAGTGGCCTAACAAAAATCCAAAAAGCATTCTCTGGGCTGTCATAGGACAAGAGTGCCCAGTGGACTCTTGTGGGCTTCCTTCTAAAAAGTAACCCCTAAAAGTCATATGTTTTAAGGAGTGGCCATGACCCCTTCATGTGACGGGGCCATGAAAATCTGACCTGTCCTCTGCTTACCTGGCCAGGTCACTCCCTGAATGAACCCTAATTATGGGACCCCCATGGCTACCAGTTGTGGCAGGAAACGCTATTCAGACACAAGGGGACTGCAGGCTAGGGAGGCTGGCAGGTGGCTAACCAGCCCGGCCCAGGCATCTGGATGTTGTGGTTTTACTCACATCCATTGTTACTATCTGAGGGCTCAGGATTCCCTCTGGCACCAAATCCAAGGACTTCTCTTCTTACAGGGTGAGTCTCCCGTCTGCAGGTTATGTTCCTCTCTTCCCTCCCTGCGTCACGTTACCCTCACGGCTTGGACTGCTGTGGGCCCTAGATGCTGTATCTGGTTTTGCTTTGCCCATAACAAGTTCAGCCGGATTGACTGATCATTTTCCTGCCCCTGAGGCTTTTGCTCCCTTGGCTTGGGACCAGATCCAGTTTTGAGCCCCCTGGAAAGCTCTAAGCCCATTAGCCCTGGTTCCCAGCGCTGCACTCCCTACGTGCTGATTTATAGTGTTTCTTTCCAGGCTTCACATAGTAACATGGGTCTCTCTAGGCCCCTCCTCTTATCGCCTGTTTTTCAACTCCAAATTCTATTTTCCCCCAATCCCAGCAAAGTGTTAAGGAGTAGGATGGCTAGTGCAGGCTCCTGGGGGCAGATGCTGGCAGTCACTGAGAGTGTTCTGGGAAAGGACCCACATTTCTGTCCCCACCACTGTCTATACCGAGAACCCAAGAAAATCAAGATGGAATTCCTGACTTTCCAGAACATGCGCACTTTTAATTTAGACACTGTTTTTTTTGCGGTCCATGAGGTGTGATACCTAAGGTCGTGCGTCACCTTCCCCTCATCATCTTCGCTGCATCTTCCTGACTAAGAACAAAATCAAATCCCTCCCTTCTGATGGCCGCTGGTAGTAACCTCCATGAGCTCATCTTACTCAACCATTTTCCTTTGTCTGTTTTTCATCTAATTCTGTTCTCAACCTTTTTCTCAACCATGCCTTGCCGTTTAATAAACACAGAAAAACCCCTCACCTCCTCGCTTAATGTTGTTTTAACTTTCACAAACTCATCTCATGACTAAAAGCCAGCTCATGTAGAATACAGGTTGTGTTTGTTTTCATAGGACACTTGCTCCAACGAAAATATCTTCCCTGTCACCTGTTTTGGAGGTTGCCAATGCCACCTCCCCTGTGCCAAGGGGGAGGGGACTCTCCCACTCCTGTCAGGTATGAGTCCCTGAGCTAACTCAACCGCCCTGCCTGCCTGCCAGGTGGAAGAAATCTCAGCAGCTCGGGAGAATTTCTCAGCGCGTCCAAAGAGCCCGGGCTGCTCTCTCCTGGCTCCGGGCCTTGACCTCTGACCCCCGGGGGGGCAGTCCCACTCAGCTACACTCACACTCTGCAAGCTTGAACTCAGCTTCTCCCCCTGAGCCAGCTTTTTGCCTTGACTTCCCTTCCCACCACGTTATTGTCCTAGGAACCTCGGGGTGACCTCAAGGACACTTTTGCTGTCCCTCCCTCCTTTGACCCCAAATACAACAATCTGCTCAGCCTTGCAGAGTTTCGGTAGAGTCGTTTTGTAACATCTCTGCCCTCTGTCCCTTCCCTCCTGGCAGCACTGCTGGGGGCTGGATTTGGTTTCCATCACATGCTGTCAGGGTTCGTGTAAGAGCCCCCTCCTGCCCTGTCTCTCCTGTGCCGAGTTCACCCTGCATACACCGCCAGCGCTTCACTCTGTCGTTGAACATGTCTGGGCTATATATTACACACTACGCAGTGCATTCGTACTAGAGAGCCTGCAAAGTGGAGATCCGGCATTCCCACCCCAGGGTGCATCCTGCACACTAAACTCATTTTCCTAAACTGCTACTTTGATCATCTCTCTTGTCTGCTCGAAAGCCTCCAGAGGACTCTGATCTGCCTTCTGCTGTATTTCACCAGCTCTTTAGACAAATGTGGGGCCCAGAGCAAGACCTCGGCACCCACTTGTTGAATGAATCTAATGGATGGACTGGATGTCTGTGGCTGCTGCCTGGGGGCCTGGGCTTGGCGCGTGGGTGGCCTGGTAGAGCAAAAAGAACTTGGGCTTAAGGGTCTGGCAGCCCTGAGCTGATGTTTCAAAGACTGTGCTTTCTAGCTCTGTGAGCTCAGACAAGTTATTTAACTGCTCTGAGCTTTGTTTTTCTTATTCTTCAACATGATACTTGAAACTCCTTTGCAGTGTAAGGATTAAAAGGTGATTATATATAAAACATGTGGCACAATACCCGGAGGCACATAGTAGGTAGTCAAATATGGTGGGGTATAAGGACTTTGAATATATAGACGTGAGTGAGTGTGTGTGTGTGTGTGTGTGTGTTTGTGTGTGTATGAGAGAGAGAGAGGCAGAATTAAATGAAATCCTGCATGTTGAGCGCCATGCGAGATTCCAAGCATATGGTAAATGTTAGTGCATCTCACTCTCTTGACCTTTCTCCGTCCTCTGCAAATGTTGTCTTCATGTGGACTGGCTTCTTACCACAGGCTTGACAAACACGGCACAGGTTTCCCCTGCTGTCCCTCCCTTCTCCTTCTGTCTTAGATGTTCTCATGAAACAAACCTCCGCGAAGAAGAGCAAACCAGGAAAACAAACAAAACCTTCTTTTTATGTTGAAGAAAATGAAAACAACAGATTTGAAATGCGGTCATTCAAACACCGGCTCCTCCTGAACTAAATACTGTTTTGTTACATCGCGCTTCACCTACATGGCGTGACAGTCAAAGCTCGTCTATTTCTGTAGAGCGACGGCTCTGTTCTCACAGTGTGGTCCTCAGACCAGCAGCCTCAGTGTCACCTGGGAACTTACTAGAAATGTAGACTCTCGGGCTGACTGCAGGCCTACTGAATCAGAAACTCTGGCCCTGGGCCTGGCAATCTGCATTTTTGCCAGCCATCCAGTTGATTCTGAAACAGGCTAAAGTTTGAGAATCACCAGTGTAGATGTAATGAAAATATAAGGAGCATTAATCTAGCATAAATTGCATAAATCAAGCATAAATTAGCATAATTTCAGTTTAACATGCTTTAATTCTTTGACTCTTTGACTCTTTAGGTCTACATTTCTGAGTCATTGAAATTTGTTTCTTTTGGGGCCCGCCCCTCAGGGCCGGCCGGCCTCTGTTGGCTGCATCTTGTATTCCTGAGGTTGCTGCCCTGCTCCTCCTGAGCCCACCAGGCACATTTCTGCTTCCTACTGTTTGTGCTCATCTCTGTCTAGAAAACCCTCTCTCTGTCTCTCTGCCTGTCCAAGTCTTACGTATCTTCCAAGCTCCAGATCAAGTCTCTTTGATGCCCTTCCACATCTCTGACTCTCCATGACCTCTCCTTCCTCTGGGTTACATGACCTATTTCTCCTGCTCTGAGCTTTTTGAGAGGTGAGAATTTCTCTGACTCATCTCTGCATGCCCCCCTGCCCCTTGGTGCCTTGAGAGGGCTCTTCTGTGACAGGAGCTCATGAATATTGGGTCATTTGGAGTAGTCACTGGGACAAGGTCACTGACGGTGGTGAACCACACCTTGGTGAAAACTGCCCACATCTGTACATAGAGTCGTTGTACCAACAGAGTTGACACAAGAGCAAGAAGCTTTGCCGGGCTATCTCGTGGCAGCCTCTTGATCCGAACTTATCAGAAATTCCATTCTAGGGCACCCTCCTAAGAGTGATACAAGCTACGAGGAGTGTAGTCAGAGGATTACACTGAGGATGGCGAGAGGGTTTAGAACCATGCTAAATAAAGAACCGAGAAGAGAAACTGCGCATCAGTCACAAGGAGCTGATGGTCTGCCAGGTGGCAGAAGGATTGGATTTATCCTCTGTGGGACCCCATGGGTAGAACTAGAAAGTAAAGGACAATCTCTCTGACTTAAACTTGCTAACATACCCTCAGTGTCCAGCCTTGGTGCCTGTCTGGCACAGAGTAGGTGCTCAATAAATATTTACAGAATAAATGAAAGAGCAAAAGAAATCAATAGGCAGGAATAACGTGGAGGTGGACTTGTCTTTGCCTAAAGAACTTTCTAACAATCCCCTATGTGGCAGGCCCCTTAAGGCAGAGCTAGCTGTTCTTTATCTCTTGATTCCAGTGTCTTGTACAAAGCCTGGGAAACTGAGCCACAGACTCCAAGTTGGCCAATGATGGAATGGGCCATTCTGGAAAGTGGTGGACTAGATAACGAGTTGGAGGAAGGTCATCAGAAGAGGTTTAATGCCAGAGGGTCCTAGACTATAGGACTTCGAGATCCCTTTGGCTTGGAGATTCCATGTTTTAGAGCCAGCCAAAAAATGCACTGGTGTCTCTAGGCCCTCCTGGTGAATTCATTCATCTTAGGAATGGGGTCAAAGTAGCGTCTTCCTTAGCACAGCCTGGAAGCTGGTTGGCTGCTCTTTTTCAGGGTTTTTGGAATGACTAGCCACTGGCTTGTTTGTTTTAGGAACTGAGGAGGCCATAAAGCTTCTGATCCTCTGAGTGTGTCTGAAGATTAAGGAAATTTAAATTTTGTTCTAGAGTCCCCTAAGTAATGGACAATCAAAGTAGGTGCATTTCAAAGAAACGCAAGAAGTTTCAAAAGATGAAAAATCAAAGTTCTTAAGGGTGCATCTTCTTAAACAAGCCAAGAAGGACTCAGTCAGTGAGAGGACTGATGTGTAAGAAGGGAAGATGCTGGAAAGGAGGGGGAGGCCCTGAGAACAGACACCATAAAGTATTAATCACTGCCCGCCTTAATTAGCCTATAGACTCCAACAGCAGGGAACACAATTTTATTTCTTGGGAATCACAAATAACCCAGTTTCATTCACAAGTTTTTTCCCAACTTGCAAAACTGCTTATCTGTTTCACATTTGCACAGAAAAGGTCTTAATTACCAAAACCACATTGATATGTTTATTTTCATTTTAATTCAGTCCAAAATACTTTAATTTCTGATTTGATTTCTTCTTTGACCCATGAGTTGTTGAAAAGTGTGTTATTCAGTTTTCAAACACCGACATCAATTTGGAATTTAGGTTTCTCTTTCATTGTTCTAGCCTTGTGTTTCCCCCTAATATTTATACAGGAAAATTCCATCCTCTTTCTGTTACTTTCCTTCAAACAGAACCTGGATATTTATTTTCCTTCATATTGAGGAGAGTCAGCTTCCCGGGCCAGATCTCTATCTTTGACTTGCCTCTAACTGAAGATTATATATGGGATGGTCCTAGCATTCAAGGCTTCCCACAACCTGGACTAAACGTAACTTTCCAGTGCTGGCCTATGTGTCTTCATTATAAGTGTCAACGCAGCTAGAAAATTTTCCATTTCCCAAAAACATTTGATTCTGTTCGTTTTGTTCTCTATGAGAGATCCTCTCTTCCCCAACCCCTCCTGGAAACCACCATTCAACACATTTTAAATGTTGCCTATTCCGTGAAGATTTTTTCTGGTCTCTCAATGTGCTTTCTTTTACTGAAAATCTTCACAGCTCTTTTATTTTTAAAATTTTTAAATACTGTCTCTTATTGCCTTTGTAACATCAAGGTCATTCACTTTCTTATCCCTCTTGTTGGAATCTAAGTCCTTCCCTCCAGGCAGGCAGCGGCCCACCCTGGGCCCTCCCGTGCATGTCTGCTGAAACAAACGAATTGTGGTCTCTCCCTTTCCTGGATGCCTGATTGATTAATATTTTAGACTTTGCCAGGACGGGAACATTCCAAGGTAGGAAAGGATACTGGAGCAAGAGAGACTTTAAGGAAGTTTTAGGAGTCTCTGTTCTTGATTATTTCACAGACATAAGCTGACAGAGGGGAAAGAATTCATAGCCGCAGAATGTGGGCAGCTCAAAGAAGACCTTGTTTTCTCTTTTTCAAGGACCCTGCAGTGATGGAAGCCTCCCATGTGGGTCAAGGCCTCTTTCATGAGCTCATTAACTCTTTATAGGAGACGAAATCACTGACTAATAGAGTGATTGTACAAGAATCAACATAAATATTAATGAGGAAAATGCCAGTTTTCTTGCACCACCACCCACTACAGGCCTATATAAGGTCTAGAGGAGAGGCAAGGTTTCAGCTTCAGGCAAATCCGGCCGTGGGCAAGGCAGGGGTCTGGCCTCTTAGCACCATGTCTTCCAACTGCTGCAGGTCTCTCCTCAGTGGGCACGTGCCAGAGGCCAAGGCTGCCTCCCTGTGCCTCTCAGCCACCCTGGCACATGCTAACCGAGTCTGCGTGGGGACGACCCCTCTGGGCCGACCCAGCCTCTGTCTGCCCCACAGCTGCAACGCTGCTTGCCCCTTGCCAGGGACCTGCGACATTCCTGGCAACATTGGCATCTGTGGGACCTACGGCGAAGGCACCCTGAACAGCCATGAGAAGGTGACCATGCAGTTCCTGAACAACCGCCTGGCCAACTACCTGGAGAAGGTGCGCCAGCTGGAGCGGGACAACGTGGAGCTGGAGACCAAGATCCTAGAGTCGAGCAAATGCGATGAGTCCAGCGTGTGCCCGGACTACCAGAACTATTTCCGGACCATGGAGGAGCCCCAGCAGAAAGGTGAGGTTTTTGGTGCTCCTGATCAGGGGTTGGCAAACTACAGCCTGAGGGCCAAACCCGACCTACTGCCTGATTTTATAAACAAAGTTTTATCGGCACACAGCTGCGCTCATTCATTGATGTATTGTCTATGGCTGCTTTTGTGCTGCAATGGCAGAATGGAGTAATTGTGACCGAGACTCATGGTGCGCAAAGCCTAAAATATTTACTGTCTGGTCCTTTAGGAAAAATGATTACTGACACTTGCACTGAATTTTCAGGGACTGGATTGGCAGTAGAAACAGCCAGGGCTGCAATGTCTTTTGGATTGCGGGAAGAGAATCTCTTCAGTGGAGGTGAATGGGGCTGTGCAAAGGATGAGGTGCAGGACTCGACTCTCCAGGATTCTGAGTTTGCGTCTGTTTGGTTTCAGTACTTACAATTCTTAAATTGTAGTTGCAAAAACATGCAACCGCACTTCTGGTGCAGTACAGGGAGCAAGTGCTAATGTCCTTTATGAGCCAGTGTAGATCCAATCAGTAGCATTGGTCTCTCATGCATATCTGCTGTCCCCTTTGATTACCAAAGCAATGCTTCTTAAGAGCCTACATCTTAGTTCTAGAGATGGGAAGACAAAGAATGTCAGAACAGGGGCCACAGAAATCTGACTAGATTCAGAGAACTCCTTTGGGGAGGCTGACCAGCTAGCGTAAGGGACTTCTTATTAAGAATGGGTCCCACCTTATCTGAATAACCAGCCCACTGTTCTGTGGCCTAGATTCCAGATATTCTTGTTTATATCAGGCTAAGCATCATGGCTGGCAAAATAAAATTAAGTCTTTGTTGTATGTTCAATTTGCTACCACTTTCATCTCCCGGGTCCTTTGCCTCTACGCCTTCAGCCTTTGCGGGGAAATCCTCTTGCACATTGTCCCTCCTGCACCACACCAGCACCTCTTATATGTTTGGGAGTTTGTGTTGTCCACGGGGATGCTGTCGTTTGAATCCCAGGCAATGGAACTTCCTTTGACTCGAGGCCATAGATGGCTCTGGGAACAGTGAATCACTGACCCTCTCTCTCTCTTCAGATCCTGTGCATCAAATCTGAGAACAACAAGCTGGTCGTGCAAATAGACAATACCAAGCTGGCTGCAGATGACTTCAGGACCAAGTGAGTTGGGGTAGGACAGGCAGGGGGAGCAGCCACATACCTGCCCTGACTTCTGTCTTGTGATGCAGTTAGCATCAGAGATCTCATTGATCAAGATCCCAAACCAACAGTGACAGCAGGGGAAGCCAGAGGGCATTATGCCCAAGATCTTAAAAAAACAACCCCTCTGCCATTTTTAGCTTTTGTAGTTTATAACATGATTTAGAATGCACCGTCCACTTGATTCTGTTGTAAGAAGAACCTGGTGAGGCAGGCAGGGCAGCGATGGCATCTCTCACTCAGAGCATTGAGGTGACTTGCCAGAAGTCACATGGCTATTGAGTGGCCACACTGGAACCTGGGCCACATTTCCTACCCCAAGGTCATTTCCTACAAAACTCTGCTGCCTCAGTGAGGACACGTTTCCACACTGCAGCTCGACCAATCTCTGAGCACTAATAATTCATGACGGAAATCACGCTCCACTGCCCGCGATGGAGGCAGGTGAAGGTCGCAGGGTTTACACTGGCTGAGAAGGCGCAACCTGGGAGCAGGAAGGGGCATTAAATTTTATCGTCTTTCTTCAGGGCACCGTGGAAGCCTCACTCCTCTAAGCAAAAGAAAGCCCTTCCTTCCTCCCATTCTGGCAGTTTGACTTCTAATTCGAGAGAGAGTCCAGCGTCCGGCTCAGTAGCGGGTGGCAAGAGGAGGGTCTGGAGTGATCACACTTTGGCCTGGTCACTCTACTGTCTTCCTTTAGGCCACCAGCCCATGAGGGCACTGGCCCTCTGCCTCGTTTGTCTGAAGTGCTTAGTGTTGAGTGAGTGGGAACACCCTGTTGCTTTGTGGGCTGTGAGCGCACTACGCAGGAAATGGCAACTCACAATTAGACTGTGGAGGGAAGGCCAGCGGAGTTACGCTGTAAACTGTGTCCTGGGGCCCCCTCTGCTCTCTAACACCATTCCTGTACCTGCCCTGGTAAAGGTTCCAGACGGAGCACTCGCTCCGCCAGCTGGTGGAGGCCGACGTCTGCAGCCTGCACAGGGCGCTGGACGACCTCACACTCGCCAAGTGTGACCTGGAAGCCCAGCTCGAGTCCCTGAAGGAGGAGCTGCTCTGCCTCAAGAAGAACCATGAGCACGTATGCGGCCCTTTGTGTGAGACCTGAAGACTTTCTAGGGGTGAATTCAGGCTCATTTGGGGTAAGAAATGAGACTCTTCCTTCTGCATGGGATGAGCTGCCCTTCTTCATGGTTGAGCCTCACAAGCCGTAAAGGTGAGCTCTGGCTTTCAGCGGGAGCTTGCTCTTCTTCCATAGCCTCTGGAAGATGCTGGGCTGGGGCAGGCAGTGCCTCGTCCTCAGGAGCTCAGGGAAATCGCTGTGGAGGATGGGAAGTGGGAGATGAGGCTCTGGATGGAGGGCAGCAGGGGCCCCATGAATGGGACGCCCTCCTCCTATGCCCACAGGAAGTCTACACTCTGAAGTGCCAGCTGGGGGACAAGCTCCAGATTGAGCTGGACACTGAGCCCCCCGTGGACCTGGGCAGGGTGCTGGGGGAGGTGCGGTGCCAGTACGAGGCCATGGTGGAGACCAACCGCCGCGACGTGGAGCAGTGGTTCCCAGCTCAGGTGAGGGCGATGTTGCAGAGCAGGGAGGGAGCCCGGCCGCCGCGCGGGCAGGGAGGTGATCCCGTGTCCCTGTGCCCCTGTGCTGCAGTCTGAAGGCATCAGCCTGCAGGCCACATCCTGCTCCGAGGAGCTTCGGTGCTGCCAGTCGGAGATCCTGGAGCTGAGATGCACCGTGAACGCCCTGGAGGTGGAGCTTCAGGCTCAGCACACACTGGTGAGTTCCTTTGTGCTCATGGAAGCCTCAGCTTGGCTCCCACTCCCATGAGCGTCCCCGGGTTCAGGACGCGCCTCTCTTAAATACAGACAAGGGACACAGCTTAATCCTTGACTTCCCTGCTTTTGCAAGAACTTTCTCATAGATGTGGATGCTGAGGGGATGAACATTATCCCTGATGAGGGAGGTTCTGCAAACTTATCCCAAGGTTTACGATGAAGAGCCGTAGCACGTTGTTACTTCTTCCTGCTGGACACCGCTAATGGGAGCTGGACTGTTCTCTGGCCCTGGCAATGTCTTGGGGTGTCATGGTCTTACTGAAGAGGCTGAGGGCAGGGATCCATGATTTTTAACCTGCTTCCCCCTTTCTCCGGTATCACAGAAAGACTGTCTGCAGAACTTCCTGCCTGAGCCCGAGACCCGCTACAGCACCGAGCTGGCCCAGATGCAGGGCCTGATCAGCAACGTGGAGGAGCAGCGGTCCAAGATCCGGGCGGACCTGGAGCGGCAGAACCAGGAGTACCAGGTGCTGCTGGACGTCAAGGCCCAGCTGGAGGGCGAGATCGCCACCTATATGAACCTTCTGGAGAGTGAGGACTGCAAGTACGTACCCTGATGTTGTTTGTGTCAACATCGTGTGTAAAAGCAGAAACCTCTTATTGGGAATGACCTATAAGGAGGGGGTGGCCTGGCAGACTCCATCTTTGGGGACAAACTTGCTACCTAGTAAGCCTGGTGGGCTGCCTGGACATAGAGGAGGTGTGCAGGGGCTTTTCAACTCATGCCGTCCATCTGGCCGATGACTTCACGCTCCTGGATACTAGTCACTCCCACAGGGGCTAAAATACTTGCAAGCCCAGTGCACTTAGGTTTTGCTAAATTCTCTCTGGAAGAAATATTCTAGTACCAGGAATTCTTCCTACTCAGCATTTAAAAATATTGCTAGGGGCATTTCCCCCGTTCTCTCATTTTAGTTCCTCAGTAGTGCTGTGAAAAAAGTAAGATGGATAGTACACCCCTTTAAGTAATAAGGAGCAAGATTAGGGGCTGTGTTTAAAATAAGAGAGTGGCTCATGCTTTCGCTCTGCCAGCCTTTCTCTCTGCCCCATTCCTTTCCACGTGGCAGATAACACTGGTTTTGCACACGGGCACCCTGAGCTCTGGTCCCAGCTCCACAGTGGACTCTGGGCAAGTCACTGTCCCTTTCTAGGCCTAGAGGAACCTCTAAGGTCTAAAATCCCCTTTTGCTCTTCCAATTCTAAAGTGTCTACATACTTTTGTCTTTCATGCACTTCTCATGTGAATGTTTCAGACACCTTTGTTCTCTCTGCAGGCTCCCCTGCAACCCGTGCACGACCCCGGTCTCCAGCACGCCCTGCCCAGCCCCTGCAGCCTCTCCCTGCTGCTCTCCCTGCCTTTCCAGGCCTCCTCGGGCCACCTGTGGGCCCTGCTCATTGCCTCGACGCTGACCTCCTCCTCAGTGTGAGGTGCTGAGACACGGGCACTGTTGCAGCCCCTTTGGCTCCAGGCTCCGGGCTCCAGGCCCGCCCCCGAGGCCTTTCTGCCTCAGCCAGCCGGCAGCGCTTCTCCGTCGATGGGCTTTCCAGTCCAGCGGCTCATTCCTGGCCCCTGGATTTGTGCTTCCTCTCTTCGCAGTGTCTGGAGTGTTCCATTTTTCTCTCTTCTATTGCCTCCTGGTCTCTCTGAGATGCGGCTGGTAACCTTGTTTTCATTTCGCTAATAAACGTCACTTCTGCAGCATAAGGAGCACGGTGCCTGGTGGTCTGAGTTTCTCCAGCCCACGCTGAGAGCATTGCTGGGAGCTCCTTGAGCCGGTTGTTCCCTGAGCAGCTGGGCTTGTGGCTTACTGACCAGAGTGGTTCCGGAAGACGGCAAAGCCAGTGAGGACCGTGGTTACAAATGAGACAGCAGCAAAATGGCACAGACGAGCCACACCCAACTCTTGAGCCGACCAAGCCTACTTAGAGGCAGACTCACAGAACTTTGAAAGTACGGACACTAAATAAAACCCCCTTTTATCTGGATGAAGCCCTCTGGTCCTTGTGCAAAGGGAAAACTCAGGTCAGAGGTTCTACCGGGCCCCCCTAGACTATTCTATTTGAGGTAAGCTTTTGTGATCACGTGCTCATCACGAACAAGGACCGTGCTGGGGCCTTACCGACCTTGTTGACACAGGGTCCCACAAAAACCCTGCAAAGAGAGTGTGGCTGTTACTATTCTCAGCTGGTGGCTGAATCAAGGCTTGAAGCCCGGCCTCTTTGAACCAGATCCAAAGCCCATATTTTGGAAGCTTTGAAGGGGAAAAATTTCAACATGAGAAGCTTTGGGGCGGTGGTTCTATAAATGTGGTCCTCCAATCAGGAGGACCAGCATCACCTGGGAACTTGTTGGAAATGCAAATTCTTGGGCCACACCTCAGACTTTCTGAATAAGCAGTGTGGTTTATGGAGCCTTCCAGGTGATTCTACGCACACTCAAGTTTGAGAACCACGGGTAAGGGAGTTTATCTGGGGAGTGAGCCCCTGACTGGCCAGACACTCTGCAGAAGGGATTGGCCTTACTCTCCCGATAGATCCCCTGGGTGAGGAATCCCTCGTCCCTTTGAGATAGAGCCTTTCCCCCGCAAACTGCAAAGCTCTGATGATGGTAATTGCTGAGCCTGTCAGACTGTCAGTCTAGAAAAGGCCAATCTAACTGACCCACTCAAGCTCCCGCACAGGCTCCACTCGCAAGTCCTTCTGGCAGCTGCCTCACTTGGAACTTGCCTGGCAGACAATAGACACATGAACCAGAGGCTCCATATTTAGGCAGCCATGGGCGAGAACAGCGTGTCTCCAGAAAGCAGCATGAGAGCTGGCCAAAGATGGGAGGCAGTGAGTTCCCCATCATTGAAGACGTTCAAGCAGGCCCTTTATAACCGCCTCGGGGTGATGTTGGGGCGGTTACTCAGGCATATGATGGGGCTGGATGAGATGGTGGTAGAGGGTCTTCTAGCCCCCAAGTTCCATGACTCCCTTCTTTCCAGGTCTTATTTGTCAGTGAAACTACAAGTGTTAAAGTGGAGCCAAAAGACCAACTCTAGGAGCTGGTTCTTGTCTTCGCTCTCTGCTCCATGAACTCTCTGATTCAGAGTAGCTGCTGAGAAGTTTGCGAAGTCCAGCTGATGGTTGTTGAGTCCAGCCCATCCCGGAGCCGGAGTGACCACAGTCCCAAGCCCCAAGGACGGACAGAACTTAAGTTGGGGCCTGGTTGCTGTGCCTCCAGCTGCTCTCAAGCCCAGAGTCCTCCCTGGTGGCCGCTGTCTGTGAAGACAGGACTGATTTGCTTGGGAGGCAGCAGGACTTCCATCATAAGAAGCTCTGGAGGGGTCAGAGGCTGTCACGCCTTCCCTCCCTTCCCCTCCACCGAGCCTCAGCTCTTCTCCCCAAGTGTAGAAGCATAGAGGTAGTGGGGGTGACACATCCCTGAGGCACTCACCCAAGAGTGGGTCCCAATAAGAAAGAGCAATCTTGATTAGTTTTAATTTAGCACCTGGCCCAAACACCTTTGACTCTTCCTTTGTACTTAAGTAGCTCCTTTCATCCAACAAGTTCAAAGCTGTACAACAAATAAACCCACTTCTTCTTGCACCATGACAGAGCAGGCAAGCATTGTTCTTCCCATTTAAGGAGCAGAGAAGGTGAGTCATTCAATGGTTGAGGGATTCTTCTGGTGACATGAAATGAGTCAATGGGGCCCCAGGGTGATTGACCTGTGTTTCTTAAGTTTACATTCAATGTCCTGACTGTCATTTGTAATTAAAATATGAGCTTTGATGAGACATTGTTTGTGTGTGTGTGTGTGTGCGTGTGTGAAGTGGTTTGGGTTTCTGGGAAGAAATACTGGGTAGAGGGGATCATTATACTTGGGGAGGTGTGAAGAGCTTTCCTGGAAACCAAACAGTCCATCATTACCATCATCACTACCAGCACCACCACCACAATCATCACTTTTCTTCATCATCACCATCTTTATCATGATCGTCATCATTGTCATCGAAGCTCACATTCATCAAGCTCTAACTGTGACCAGGCACTGATCTAGGTAGTAGATAAGTTTATTTACATAAACCCACTTAATCCTTACAGTAATCCTACAAAGCCAATGCTATTGTTATCCTCATTTTGCAGATGAGGAACTAAGGCTAAGAGAGGTTAAGTAACATGCGCAAGGTCACACAGCTACTAGGTGGTGAAGCCAGGATTCAGAGCCAGGCAGTCTGCTTCCAGTAACTGCGCTCTTCACTACTATGCTTTACAGAAGCCACATCTCAGATTGTGTCAGCAGGAAGACAGGACCATAATTACCCCAATGTTTTGATTCTCTTTCCTTGAAGGAAATGAGAGACTAGAGGAACAATTTCTTAGAATTTATGCCACAAAGGGTAAAGTAAAGAATGAAAGTTCTATAGTATCGAAAATGGCTTGAGGACCCTAGCAATTTTAATGGCTGGGAATCACCAAAGAAGGTCAACCCACCCCCTGCCATTACTAAATCCCCTTTGTCCACTGGGGAAGAGGAGGAGAAGAGAAATAGTCAATGATGTGTGCATCGTTTTACCATTTACAAAGCACTTTCTTATGTCTTATCCAATATGACCCCGCCAAAACCCAGAGAGAGGCAGAACAGGTTTCTTGATCCTCATTTTGCAGCGAGACAAGTTGAGGGTTAGGGAGGTGAGTGACTCCCCCCCAACCCCCAAGGTCTCACAGCTGGTCTCACTCACACCCAAGTCTTCTCATTCCTGGTCCTTTGCTCTTTCCCTGCACTGAACTGCTGAGGGCTTTGCTGGAGGTACATCCAGATGAAACTTCTCGTTCAGACCCACTCTCAAATGCTGGGGTGAGGTGGCTGAGACGGATTTTACAGGGCAAAGGCTTCCGGGGTCTGAGAATCTCTCCAAGGGAAATCTTCCTGGTGCTGCTCCCACCTTGCAAAGGCCTCTCCGCCCCGACCACATTTCAGACTCAGCTTCCGCCTTTGGCCGTCTCCTGGCCTCCGTCAGCAGAGGCTCCCCCTTTACGCTGGTTTGGGTACCCAAATCTCCCTTGCCTCCCTTCCCCCTTCCCCCTCCCTGGTTCTCAGACATCTGAAACGCATGCTTCCCTCGTTCACATGGGCCTCCGGGGCCACCACCCAAGTGCTCTGCCCCGCAGCAAATCTCGCTGATCCGCAGGGTGTCAGAACTGCATCTGCTCACCAGCATCTTCACTGTCACCTCCTCTTCTCTCCACTGGTCTCTGTCTCAATTTCTGTTTTTGTCTCTATTTTCCTCTTTTATCTGCCTGATTTCTTTTATCGCCTGTTTTCTTCCTTCTGTCCCATACCTCATCCCTGGAAGCCTCTTTCACCCGCTTTGACACTCATCTCAATGCCCGCGGGTCCTATGGGGATGCCACAGGGCTGCAACAACCAGCGGTCGCCACCATGCCTCCTGTGGTCTCCAAAGCAACAAGAACCAAATATCCAAGTATCTGATTACCAGGTCAGGTTGAAGAAGAGATTCTTAAAGGGATCAGGATTCTAATGAGATCAGCTGTTTGAATCCTACCTCTGAGTCACCTGGAGAGTGCAGTCACCAATACATCTCCTTCGGGATAGAATTAAATAATCTCAAATGGTCTCATCCCTCATCTCCTGGCTGGGAATCATGAATTGAGTTGAAATAGCCTGACTGGAGTTAGCGGCAGGAATAGGCATGGGAAGAAGTGGGAGGGGCCAAGGAAGAAACTTTCTGGGGGTAAGGTCCCAATTAGATTATCTTATGTTAGTTAGCTGTGGACCTGGCTGCTCAGCAGGACTGAGAGTTGGCGGAGGGCAGGGGCATGTCATCTCCCCACCGTCCCACTGTCCCACTGACCCCCCGGGCCCAGCCCTGGGACTATGCCAAGTGCCTGGTAATGTTCAACCAGTGACCGCTGCCCGTAATGTCATGCATGCAATCTTCTAGTTACCTTAAACATAAACATATTTCCAAATGTCCACCTCACATCTTTTAAATATCTCACCTCTTTATGTTACTGTTATTTTTCATGTATTTTGGGGACCCACATTAACCTGAATTACTCATAAAAACATAATCCGCTGTCAGAACTATGTTTCAATTTAGTCCCATGCTCAGCGTGGAGAAGCTGCTCAATAAATGTGTTCTGGATAAAGTTGAGCTAAATAAAGAAAGTGGGTTTGATCATCCCTTGACTGCTCAATTTCTCTCTGAATGAATAAAATTTGCAGATATTTCAATTAGGAGATCAAGAGAGTAGGTGAAGTCTGCTCCTAACCTGTGTGAGGTTATGGAGACCTTAGAATGCCGGAGTCGCACTTTCCCCCTTAATTCAAGAAGCAAATTCACTCAAGCCTATTGATATTTTGAAAACACTGTAAGAAAGAGGCTAGATTTACAAGGGACGGCAGCATTATATTTACTCACCGGCCAGTTCGTCTGCTGTCCCCTCCTGAATTCTTGTGCCATTTCACCTTCTGCAGGGAAAAAAGGAATCTCCAGGAAAAACCAGCAGGTCACAGGGGTGACCTGTTCTTTCTCATCTTCTTCGTGGCTGTGGTGGGCGATGACCTGAACCCAGTGCAGGTCTGAGTCCCTCTGCTCCTCTCTCTCCTCTGCACACTCCTTATTCATTCAGGAACAGGCAGCCTTGCCCCCTTGGCTTTACGCTGCCTGGGTGTGGGCCACAGTGCATTTCTCAGCCACAAACAAATCCCAGACTGGATGTAGAGGTGATACTCTGGTCTGGACACCTTGGAACAATGTCACTTCTTTCAGAGGCCTCAGCAGCTGTGGTCCCATGTCTGTAGATCTTTCCCGTGTCATCTCCATTTACATCTTGCAGGGCACTCAGCCGCTGGCCCACTCTTCTGTCCATCAATTCAGGTTGTCTTGGCTGCTTCTCAGCCTTGCGTTCTCCAGGTTCACTCATTTGAAGACGGGCTCCTTTGGCTGATCAGCGTGGCCTTGCGTGGTTCTTAGAATTCCCTCCTTGCCTCTTCTTGATGTTCTTATCTCTCTTATTAAACATACCTATCCCTATTTCCATCTCTCCCTATTGCTCTGATCTCTCTGCATTGTTTGCAAATTCGACTTTTGCTTTTTCATGGACTCAGACCCAATCTTTGAATCTTCTCATACTGAGAAGCTAAACATCCTCCGTTGGCTGAAGGCCCCACGAGGCTCCGCTGGCCAATCGTTCGATGAGACCAAAGAGCTTGGAGAGTGCCGCTGGCATTTAGCCTGTGGTCAAGGGAAAACCCTCCTGGGTTGGGAGGAAGGCAGGATTCAGGAAACAGCTCCTTGCTGGAAGACCAGTGTTTTGGAGCAGGCTGACAAGACTTGGGGGCAGGAGGCCCATGCTGTTGCCTACGAGTGAATGCTCCTCAGTCCGATTCACAGGTTTTCCATTTGTCCCCAGCCCAGATGAAGCGAGACTGAAGCTCCCTACTGACTGCCACCGCCTAACCTTGCGCCCTTCCTCCTGAGTCTTGGTGATGCCCGCCACAGGACGCACCTATTTCTCCCCCTTTAATTGCCTTGGAGGCAAACAAAGAAATTTTGATTTTATTATAAGTCTGGGGCTTCTTTGTAGCACAGTGTGGCTTTTCATCTGGATGGCATTACACTAAGTGGTGATAATGGCTTTGGAGAGGGTAGATGAAGGACCTTTTATCTGAGAGTCAAGCAGAGCGCCGCATGAATACTATCATGAAAGCTCAACGCGGAGAAGCACTCCAATAAGTTGTCAATAAAACTGCCACTCTGGCTGGTGGCCAAAGCCACAGTGGAGGTTGGGGCGCTGCTGCATGAGATGCAGGTGGGAGCTGGTGGTGCCTATAATTATGCAACTTTTATATATTCAGAACTTTGGCCACTCCTTTCTTCATCCCCAAAATCAATCCCAAATGACTCCAAGCTTGCCTTGCAAAATCCCCTGTTTATGTTGTGTTTCAGCATTTTCTCTCCTGGTGCCCAGGTCCTTGGATTCAACTACATGACCACAGAGACCTCCTTGGCGCCTTTTGACCTTTGGTTCTTAAGCCAGTTGCATGTAACCCAGTAAGGCTGAGGATGGGAAGCCCAGGACAGGATAGAGTTCATCTTCCTACGTGTCAATTTCACTTTGAGAATCGGGTGAAATCTTAGAAAATTTAACTGGAAACCTTAAAATGATTTTTTATGTTAAAGCTAACATGAGTGTATCATGGAATATAAGGTCAATTCACATGAAGTTTTAAGATCAGTGTCAAAGTTCTCACTTCAGGAGGCCCCTTGGGGCTACCTCCTGACTCTCCCAATGACCCAACCCCTCTGTCCTAATGCTGTGGACACTTCAGTGAAAAAGTTTGACTTCTTTATTCCTTCCTCTCACACCTGCCTCCAGATACTTTTCCTACGTAGATAAGAGCATTTATATGGCTCTCTCAGCCTGCATTTTTTCAGCCCTCTTTCAAAATGATCTCTTCCTCCAGAACCTTCCCTGTTCTCAAACTGTTTGTCAAAACCTCTACCTTTAAAATTTCTCTGCAATCCTTTTAAGTGATGTACAGGAGGCGTTACACGAACAGCTGCCCATCCTTCTCAGCTGGCCCCAGTGCATCCTTATCCACCTCAAGGCCTCCAAGGAGCGGCATGCTGCATCACTGGAGGATCCTTCTCTCAAAGCAGAGGGGAAGGGAGTCCACTGCTGCCACTTCAGGCACCTTCTTCCTTGACTCAATCCCAGGCCCTCCCTAGAAATGCCAGGTGGGCCAGGAGATGAGTCTGATTGCGGCTTTACAGGATCACCTGACCCAAAGGAATGGCATTGGATGGACCAACTCCCAATTTACAAGGGGAGATCCTTGGGCTAGACTGTGTGGGCTCTTTGAAGCTCTACCACAAAGCTCTGATTTCATGGGTGTACAGCCTGAAGGGGAGTCCCGACTTAGCAAGAAGCCCAACTAAAGAATTTTACGGGACAGGGAACTCTTCTGAGGAAGGCATACAACAGACTGAAGGGAAGGGCGTTTGAAAGCCAGTGAAGAAGTAAAAAGAAAAAGACATTAAATATCATGTCCACACCCTCTGCGGAAGGGGTATAAATGCTCCCCAGAGGCAGGAGACCCACAAGCTCCTGGGAGGACTTGCACTCTGTCTTCAGTTGAAAGCCTCACTCCCTTCAGCACCATGTCTTACAGCTGCTTCCTGCCCAACCTGAGCTGCCGCTCCAGCTTCTCCTCCCGGCCCTGCGTGCCCCCCAGCTGTCACGGCTGCACCCTGCCTGGGGCCTGCAACATCCCCGCCAACGTGGGCAGCTGTGGCTTGTTCTGCGAGGGCTCCTTCAATGGCAATGAGAAGGAGACCATGCAGTTCCTGAACGACCGCCTGGCCAGCTACCTGGAGAAGGTGCGCCAGCTGGAGCGGGAGAACGCGGAGCTGGAGAGCCGCATCCGGGAGCGGTGCCAGCAGCAGGAGCCCGAAGTGTGCCCCAACTACCAGTCCTACTTCCGCACCATCGAGGAGCTCCAGCAGAAGGTGACGAGCCTTGCTGTCCTTTCTAAGCAAGGGGAGTTTGCTGTGATTTTCAATCTGTGGTAGAGAACCGTGTTTCTTGCTTCCATGCCATCACGATTATTGCTTTTCCTTTTTACCTTTTTAAAGAAGTTGATGGTTTCATATTTATTTTCAGTCCTCACTAAGCAACCTCTCATTCCCCAGATCCTGTGCACCAAGTCTGAGAACGCCAGGCTGGTGGTGCAGATTGACAATGCCAAGCTGGCTGCGGATGACTTTAGAACCAAGTGAGTTGTTCAGAATTCACATCAACAATGTGAATTGTTGTTAAATTGTTGTTGTTGTTCAATCTCTAGTTAAGGAAAAGGGGTTTCCATAGCTTTACTGAACAACAGTTCAATCCATTGGTTTGGCAGATTCTGCAGAGATTGAGGGGAACCAAGAAGATGAATCAATAATAGACGAGGACTCAAATCCATCTGTACTTTTGGGTCAATATTTTGTCTTGATTGAGTCCCCAGAGCCCTCTGTCCCCTGGGTCTATTCATTGCAGTGGGAAGTGGGAAGACAAGGTGAACCAGGTTATTAAAGATCATTCCTG